AAGTGGTAGAGCTCTAGCCTTGAGCTGAAGAGCTGAGGGACAGCACCCAGGCCCAGAGTTCAGGCCCCATGACTGGACCCCCCCCCAAAAAAAAATAAAGAAAGAAAGAAAGAACCAGTAAAAAGCAGGGCTGGAAGTGGTAAGTACTAGCCTAGCAAGTACGAGCCTCTAAGTTTAATCCCTGATACTGCCAAAAAATTAAAATGTAATTATTATAATAACCAAAGCAAAAATATATGGCCTTTATTTTGACATGCAAGTTACATAATATAATTATTTTGTAGATTAATTATAATGTTCAGAATTCATAAAATATGAGCAAAACAATAATGAATATATTTGAAAATTTTGAAATACCTATCCTAAGTGAAGGAATCCAATCACAAGACTACATATAATATACTTCCTTATATGAGTTGTCCAGAATAGGCAAATACATGTAGGCAGAAAATGCATTAGTGTTTGCCTATAGCTGCGTTGGAGGGTGTTGTGATAGGGAATGCTATTAATAAGGAGAAGAATTCTTCTGAGAGAACTGAATATGTTCTGAAATAAATTACAGTGACCATTGTACAATTCTATGAGTACATCTTAAACGGGTCGATTGTTTTTTTGTGACCTATACATACAAAAGAGCTATGTTAAAATGCCTAGCATACATTAACATTTTACTATACTTTCTAGGTCATGTACCTTTTTGTAAATTTTTTTGTAAATTGATTGAGGTATAGATCCCTAATGAGACTTTCTCAGAAACCAATGTTAAAAATCAGAACACATCATCACTAACTAGCACTATGACTGAATGAAGAAAAGACTTTCGAGCAGAATATTCCAATAAAGAAGCTTTCCCAGGGACTACATCAACCAGAACATAGTAAAGAGACAATTACATCCAATATTTTCCTTTGATGTTTTGATACGGAGATATTTATAAAACATTATTGAGATTTGATTTGTAGAGCACCTGCTTAGCAATCTCAAAGTCATGAGTTCTATCTTTAGCACCACCAGAAGTGTTTTACAAAGAAGCAAATGACAGCCAAATACTAAAAACTGATATTAAAATTACTAAACGTGATTGAGGTATGAAAAATATTTTTAAAATAACAAGGTATTGTATAATTGTGTGATATTCTTGGCAGTAGGACACTTTTACAATAAGTGAGCAATTATTAATCTGACCTGTAAATTAGGCTACAGTCTATTCAGAGAGAATAGGAAAATAAAACAATTTAGGGAAGACAAATAGGGCAGGAGGGTCTAAACACCTAGTTTCTATTTGTCTTTCCATGGATCTTAGGCAGTGCTAACTCTTCCTAACCAAGATGTGTGACAGTGGATGTGGATTATTGCCAGTAGGGAAGTTCATGCAGGCCTGGTTGTCTGGGAGTATTATTGGAGTTTGGTTACATGGGTAGAACTCTCCATGGGCCTGACCATTAATTTCTAGCGCTTCTGGAAGTAGAATAAGTACAAATTGTAGACTTTCAGTCTTCACCGATCTGTAACTGAATTCCCCCACTATCGGTCAAATTGTTAACTTGCCTTTGGACCAAAACACTTGGATGAACAAAGACACCTCTACTAAGCAAGAAATTCCAAAGGCTTGTTTATTAACTCCCAATACCTGAGAACAAAGGCTAGATCTTACTTTGAGTTAGGCTAAATCTTTACTACATATCAATTTATAAAGTATTCATCTTGCACTTTTTATAAAAGCATAGGAAAATAGGTGCCAAGGGCTTATGTCTATAATCCTACCTACATAGAAGGCTAAGATCCGACAAACATGGTTTGAAGGTAGCCTGGGCAGAAAATCCTCAAAACTCTATCTTCAAAATGTCAGATTGGAGGGAAGTATGGCTCATAGTAGTGGAGTCCTAGCTGTAAGCCAACAAGTAAACAAGAGCTCAAAGCTCTTGGGTTCAAGCCCCAGAATAGGCAATTCAAAACATAAGAGGATTGACTATTTAAAAAAGCATTTGTATATATTAAAAAATTCTTTAAAAAGCAGAAAATATTTCAAAATCACACAGAAAAACTGTCAAGAGAGGCCAAATTCAGTAATGGCAGAAATAAAATTAACAGAGAAGGGGTTGAAAGAGAGTTAGTCTAAAATACTTAAGGATTTAAATGAAAACATAACCTTCACAAAGGAACACAACATGTAGTATAAATAAATAAATAACATAACCCAACCCAACCCAACCCAACATAACATAACATAACACTACAAATAGCTTGAAAAATGCAGTACCATATTGGAAGAATTCATTGGATGGGCCTAAATTGTAGAATAGACATTGCCAAAGAAAAGTGAAATAAGAAAATCTCAATAAAAACTCTTAATAAAAGGAAGAGCTGAAGCTTCTCTGAACTGAAGGACCATACTAAGTACTTTAAAACAAATAGAATTTCTATTCAATGGGAAATTATGGAGGAAAAATATATTAAATAAAAATCCAAATCAAAATGGTGTTCACTCATATCCCAATAACTGAAAAACTTCCAAGTAGGACATGTACTTGTTTGCTTTAATCTAGCAAGCTCTTGTGGTCTGTGTGTGTATTTGGTGGTTTGGGGTTTGGACTTAGCCTCCTGCTCTCTGACTTGGGGCACACACCCAGTAGCCAGCCTGTATATATTGAACTGCTCCCTGCAGAACATGCTATA